AGGAAGTTTCTCCTTAGTTCTAGGTTGCTTCTCTCTTTGGTTAGTTTCCACCCATTGCTTCTTGTCCTGCCTTCAGGCGCTTTGGAGAATAGCCTGACTCCCTCTTCTTTGTGGCAGCCCCTAAGATATTGGAACACTGCTATCATGTCCCCCCTCGTCCTTCTCTTCGTTAAACTAGACATACCCAATTCCAGCAACCTTTCCTTATATGTTTTAGCCTCCAGTCCTCTAATCATCTTTGTTGCTCTTCTCTGTACACTTTCTAGAGTCTCAACATCTGGATGCAGTATTCCAAGTGTGGCCTTACCAAGGCATTGTAAAGTGGTATTAATACTTCACGTGATCTTGATTAGCCCAAGGTTCCCCAGCTGGCTTTGTGCCTAAGACAGGATTAGAATTCAGTTCCTGGTTTCTATCCTGATGCCTTGCAGCACTAGACATTCAGACTCAAATAGAGCTCAGAAGTTATTATATTTGTTTTATGTGTAGGCTTGTATATGTTAATAGCATTCTTCAGCTAAAAATAATGAAAAAATTTTCTCCTGATAGCCCAACCAGCCCAGCCCTGGATCTGCTGTGTCACCTCTGTGTTAACTATTTTAAATTAAAATTAAAGGCTGGAGAACCTTGAACAAAAGAAAATATTTGGGGGGGAGAGGGGAACAACCCAAATCAGCTTATTAAATAGGAATAACTTGACTTTTTTTTTTCAATTGTTCAGCCCAGAACAGATGATGAAGAAGGTTGGAAAAAATTCTGCTTAGGTGAAAAGCTGTATCTAGAGCTAACAGATCAAATCTTAAGTGATGAAAATCCAGGAATTGATTATGTACAGGTGAGTGTTAAATCTGGCCTGAATAATTGTATCATCTTTAAATAGCTGTATTTTGAGCCATAGTTTCTATGCATGTTCTGAAGTAATGAAGTTTGTACATAATGATGATCATCCTTAAAATATTTACAATACAGTCCCTTCTCTAACAAAATGTTGCTACATATATCTGCAATATTGATTTTATATATTAAATAGAAAAATATTCAGAGTCCCAGTGATACTAGAGGCACATTTGGTAGGGTTAGACAGGTCTTCCCAATGGCTACACTACCCTGGGAACCCTTTTAAAAAACTATTACTAAAAAGAATAACATTATTGTAATGGAGATTGTATTTTTTGTATTTCTCCTTCAAATGAATTTAATTATGTACTGGTTTTACTCGTGGGGAACATGGCTATGCATGTACATTAGAAAGGCAGGCTTTAATGTTTAGATAAATAGATATTAGGAACTGTTTTTGGAAATTTCTTAAGCTTCAAGAGTTGCATGTATTTCTAGTTTTTAATTATATTATGGAAGCCACACAGAAATTGATATAAGATGGGCTGCTATATAAATGTTTTCAATAAATAAAATATACTTTTAATAAAGCTCTAAACATTAGAAATATCTATACAATCTCTCCTAAAGAATGACAATTGCACACTATTGTTCAGATCTAAAATTAAGTATTTAGATTTCCAACCATTTTTAAAAATCCAATATATTCTGGTATCTTTTCATTCAGATTGGCTTTCCTCCATTGCTGAGTATTGTTAGCAGAATGAATCAGGTACTGTACTTTTATTGTCGGTTTCATTTCCATTCAGTCTTGGTGTGGTGAATCCAGCTTTACCTTTTTTTCCTACCTGCCTCCATAGCTTGCTTGAAAAACCTGGACTTGGATACAAGGTAGTCCTCGACTTATGATCATATTGAGCCCAACATTTCTGTTGCTAAGTGAGCCAGTTAAGTTAGTTTTGCCTCATTTTATGACCTTTCTTGCTACAGCTGTTAAGTGAATCACTGCAGTCATTAATAACACAGTTGTTAAGTGAATCTGACTTTCCATTGAATTTGCTTGACAGAGGATCGCAAAAGGTGATCACTGGACCCCAGGACACAGCAACTGTCATAAATATGAACCAGTTGCCAAGCACCTGAATTTTGATCATGTGACCATGGGTATGCTGAAATGGTTGTAAGTGTGAAAAATGGTCGTAAATCACTTTTTTTCAGTGCCGTTGTAACTTTGAATGGCCATTAAACAAATGGTTGTAAGTCAAGGACTACCTGTAATCCCAAATAGAAATGTACTGCTCAAGATCTGAAGAACCCTAAAGATTCTTAGCCTTAAAATAGTGATAAGTATGTTTTAAATATGTTAGATCTAAATTGTTTTGTATTAAGAGGAAAGTTTTTTAAAAGGCCCAGAAAAGGTGGAGAGACACACAAAATTCTCCATTTCCCTTTTTGACCAGCTAGGCTGCAGCTAACAAGGCCTCAGGAACTTCAGAGAGTTCAATAAAGTAATATTGCCTTATTATGACTGATGGCCAAATTTTTATAGCTATTCTATCATTTATTCAGATATAGACCAATTGTTTTAATTGGTCTTTGAATTTTCTACACTTATGACAGCTGACAACAAATTAAAATTTTACACAATTAAGAATAACAGAAAGCAGTACATATAAAAACAAGTCTAGAGTAAAATCATAACATACAGGTGGCAAATAACCATTTCTTAGAGATTCTTCTCACTGCTGAATATAGGCTGTTTTGTAACATAGGTTCTATGACGGAGAAGCAATGTTTTCTGGCCTCAGGCCTCTCTCAACTCTCATAATAATAATCCTAATAATAATTATAATAGAAAGTATCCTACTAGGAATCAGTTGGTGGCATACAATCTGTTATTTCCATTTTTATATAAGTTTACATGAGCCCCTTTCACTTGCAACAAAACAATTTTCCATTTTGCTGTGAATATAAAAAAAAATGATTAGGAGAGCCTATAACCCAGTGGTGATGAACCTATGGCACAGGTGCCAGAGGCAGCACTCAGAACCCTCTTTGTGGGCACATGTGCTGTTGCCCCAGCTCTGCCTACCCCCGCGACCCCCTCCTCTCCAGCAGCTCCCCTGAAGGAGACTCGCCCTCGAGAGTGGCCCACACGGAGCAGCGCAGCTAAGGACATGGCAGCCAGGCAGCGTAGACAAGACTCTGCCCTCACATCCCATCATGCAGTTGATGCTGCAGGGCGCGGGCGTAGGGTGTGGCCGCCCTAGCACGTCTGCGGTGGGCCCTGGAGGCAGTGAGTGGTCCTGTGGGCAGGTGGGGCGGGGAATGGGGTGGCAGAGCGGGGGCGGGCAGGGGGTGGGGCCAGTTTTGGGGCACTCGGTCTCTAAAAGGTTCGCCATCACTGCTATAACCCAAAGAATCCAGAAACATTCACTAGAAGAGACAGTGATATGAAAAAGATATAAATAAAACAGTAGTTTAATAGGAGTGAAAGCAGTTTTGATTTTTTTTGTCTGTAATTCTTGTGAATCTTTAATTTGCTTGAATCTTTAATTTGATTTAATATATAAAAACTATATTATATATTTTCATTATATTACATATTCTTTAAAATTCTTTTTAGACAAGTTGTTTCAGCAACTGTCATAAGATTTAAAATACTACTTTTTGTACTAGTTATTACTCATATATCGAATTCTTCTAGCATTTGTATAAAATACTTAATTATAAATCTGTGCAGTGCACTAGAAACCGCCACCATGCAAAAATTTAACAGCTGTTTCTCTGTCCTAAAAGGCAACAGTGACCAGTGTTTTGGAATACTTGAAAAACTGGCTTGTGGAAAAAGAATTTACTCCAGAACTGGTAACTTGAAGTTTTATGTTTTAAGAGGCATTATCCCTATTGAAATTAAATTGAAGGAAACTAATCTCTTTATTAATAATTTCTTTTAATCTGGAATTGTCGACATGAGTGCTTGCCTGGATTTTAGTAAAGCTATGTCCCCCTAAGGTGAATGTTTTAAATTGTCTTCATTTCTTAGTATCTATATTACTTCCATATAAATTGAATGTATGCCATAGTTGTATAAAAAACTAAATTAAACCTGTAAGTTTTAAATATGTCTCTAAAACTAAATTTTAAATATGTTGTTAGACCACTGGATATTTTAATTTCTATAATTCATGTTAGTTCATTCTCCGAATAGCAAGTCAGCACCTATTGTCTCCTGAATTGGTTCCCCACAGTCCTTCTCATTAAATTTTTTGAACCATCAAATACAAAATATTATAGTTCTCATGTGAAATCTGTAAATTGCCATTTTCACATAAAGGTTCATAATTTATTATATAAAGTTTTTTTAAAAATGTGTACGGTCTTGTGCATTCATATCCAGAAAAGACTGATCCATCTATAAGCTCTATTAAATAGCTGCATGAATTTATTTTGATCTAAGAAATACAGAATTTGTGCCTATTTACCTGTGGTCTTATTACCATTGCTTCAAATACATGTTGATAAACTATGCTTTCCCTCTAAGTCAGATGTCCCCAATCTTTTGGGCACCAGGGGCAGGTTCTGGGGAGAGAGGTTTTTCCGCGGACCAGAGGGTGCATGGTTTTGTGTGCTGCCTGCATTCTGCGGATCAGGTTTTGCTTGTTTGTGTGGACCAGTTGCTGGCATGCCGCAGCCCAGTATTGGTCCACAGATCAGGGGTTGGGGACCCCTGCTCTAAGTGAAGTTTAGTGGTTTCTTAAAATCTCATTTTAAAAAATTTTAATAACCAGACTGAATCTAATTACTGCTAGAAGCAGGAACCACTAGGAAATCCAAAATCTATGTTGGAAAGTAGAAAACAGTAGGGGAAAAAACCTACGTGACAAGGGAAATTATTGTATTTGTATCGTTATGAACAAATATATTGATGTGTTCAAAGAAGCAATACAAAGATGATTTTATCTTTAAATTCTTATTTCAATTTCTTAAAATTTCTCTAGGGCAGATGGCTTTATGCTTTGTTAGCTTGTCTAGAGAAACCATTGTTACCAGAGGCTCACTCTCTAATTCGACAACTGGCTAGACAGTGCTCTGAAGTGAGGGTACTGGAGGTAAGTTTAACTAGTTGATCATTGAAGGGGAATACTAGAAGATCCTGATCATGCTAATAGCTTGAAGCCATCATTTCTCTGAAATATGTACATTTTCCACTTGTTATTTTGATATTTCAGAATGGTAATCAAAACTTGAGAAAAGGGCAGTACCAGTTATACTAAATGTTCAAAATGTTGCTGCTATTGTTATATCTTTGATGAATTTAGCGAATATCTAAAAGAGATGGTTGTGTTTTCTAGAAATATATTTACTAGAGCTATTAATCAGACAGTTGCCAAAATCATTGCAATTTGTTGGAAATTTGTAACAGTTGTTGACATAAAGCAATTGCTTGAAATTTGGTGAAAGCACATTAATGTTTTTCTTCCTTCTAACACAGGAGAACAAGAATGATGAAAAAGTGTCTGCTCTAAACTTGTTAATTTGTTTGGTTGGAAGGTATGGCAAATTATTTTAATTAGTGTACTAAGTTGGCTATTCAAGGAAAATTAAATCAATCTCTTCACCTTTATCCTCAAGAGTCTGCACCATTACTTACATGAGCATTGTTTTGCAATAATAACTTGTAATTTTTACCCTTCTATATTCTGTTTCCAGAGACATAAAAGGCAGTAACCAATTGTTGGATTGTATTATATAATATTACAACATACACTGACTACAGCTATATACAGCCATATAATTTCTCTTTCTCTGATTTCACTTGTGCCTTTCTCATGTTTCCTCATCCAGTATTGTATAAAAAGAAGAGAGCTTAACATTGCATAATGAAATTTGATGATTGCAACTTCTTTTGTAAGGTCTCTCCATGCTGTCTTAAACTTCAATGCTACGTCTTGAGTCACATGCTCTGTGATTCCATGCAAAGATCAGTTCAGAGTATCCTGGACTGGAAGGCACGTGAAGAGTAGTTAAAATAGTATAATTCTCATATTACATTAGTATTCAACTAAATGGAAATCTAGACAAGCTATACAGTGAAGTACTGCCTTTCTTTGATACATTTGTTCAAGATTTCTCTGAAAATTTTATTAATATTTATAATCATGGATTTTTTTTCTCCCGCCTAACAGGTATTTTGACCAATATGACCTGGCTGATGAGGCATCCTGATAAACATCTGGAAACTATACATGTACGAGTTGTTAATCTTTCTCAGGCAGGCAGGCAGTACTTTCATGACTGAACTATGAAAAATGGATACACCACACGTTCCAATGTGACCTTAGTGAATATGGTGTCTTGTATACTTGGGGATTTATTTATTTTTTTTGAAAACAGACTGATTTTAGCAAGTGAAGATGTTAATAAAATATTTTCTTACAAATTATTGTCCATAACTCAGCTTGTTTGATCTACATATAAACTATGTGTGCCTCTTGGTATTTAAGGTACTACACAATGAATCAACGTGTCTATCTTATTAAAACCCAGCAGAACTGAAGAGACTAATCAAAAAGGCTATTTATGTTGAACAATACAGGTAATCCCCAAGTTACGAGCATTCACTTAAGACTAGTTCAAAGTTACATGATCAGCGCCCCCTAGTGTTTACGAGCAAATCCCAAAACTACAACTTGCAGCACCACAGCAGTCGTTTGCCCTTACAAGTGACTGCAGAGGCTCTGCAATATTCACCCTATTCCACTCCCCACAACTGCTTCCCCCTCCCTTCCTGCTGGACTCACCTTACAAAATCTCTCCTCTCTGCCGCGGTTTCTTTCTCTTTGAGGGAGAAGAGAGTCAGTTTGGAAATACTTTTCACACTGA